GTAAAGTAGATGCTCAAACATCATTCAAATGTAGACTGGATTAATAAAAGGTAACAAAGAGCACTTACTAGGTGCCAGGAATTGTTCTAAGTGCTTCACATTTATGGAGCCACTTAATCTTCACAGCAAGAGGTGGGCATTATCATGATCATCCCCGTTAGAAACGTGGTAACTGAAACAGAGAGGTTCAGTGACTTGCCTAAGGTCACAGAGCTAGTAAGTACAGGAGCTGGTTGTTGAACCCCTGGCAGTCTGGTGCCAGGATCTTACAGTGTTGCTGTTTTTTCTTATCATCACTGTTACTGCATATGCAGGTTTATAAAAGCGTTTATTACGAACAGTTTCAAACATAAAAAAGTAGGGACGCCTGGATGGCTCAGTGGTTTAGCGCCTGCATTCGGCCCAGGGCATGATCCTGGAGTCCTGGGATCGAGTCCCACAACGGGCTCCCTGCATGGAGCCTGCTTCTCCCTCTGCCTCTCTCTCTCTGTGCCTCTCATGAATAAATAAAAACATCTTTTAAAAAAACCATGAAAAAGTAGAAAAAACAATATAATGAATCTCATGTCCCCATCTCTCAGTGTCAATAATTATCACCTCATGGCCCATCTTGTTTTTTTTATCCCCCCAACTCCCTAGCCTAGATTATTCTGAAGCAAATCCATCATCATGTCATTTTCTCCATGTATATTTTAGTACATCTCCAAAAGATAAGAAGACTTTTTATTCAAAAAAATTTACCACAAGGCCATATCATGCCTTAAAAATTATTATTCCTAATGTAATCAATTTGAATACTCAGTATTCAAATTTCCCTCACAACTTAAAAAAACCTTTTTTTAAGTTAGTTTGCTTGAATCAGGATCCAAATATGGCCTTTGGGACGGCTGGGTGGCTCAGTGGTTGAGCATCTGCCTTTGGCTCAGGGTGTGATCCTGGGGTCCTGAGATTGAGTCCCTCATCGGGCTCCCTGCAGGGAGCCTGCTTCTCCTTCTACCTATGTCTCTGCCTCTCTCTGTCTCTCATGAATAAATAAAATCTTTAAAACCAAACCAAATATGGCCTTTGGTTGACATATTGCTTAATATTATTTTTTATTATTTTAAAAAAGATTTTATTTATTCATTCATGAGAGACAGAGAGAGAGAGAGGCAGAGGGAGAGGCAGGTTCCACACAGGGAGCCCGATGTGGGACTTGATCCCGGGACTCCAGGATCACACCCTGAGCCGAAGGCAGGTGCTAAACCGCTGAGCCACCCAGGAATCCCCTTAATTTGTTTTAATCTGCAAGTCTTTCCCTCTCTATTTTCCTTTCTAAGTTATTTGTTAAGGGATTGGATGTTTGTTCTAGTTTCCCTTTTCCTAGATTTCGCTGACTGCATACCTGGGAAATACTCATGTTATTTTTTTCTCCCTGATCCTTTCATATAACCTAGTAAACATTTTCCCATACTGCCCCATGGTTTTTTGGAACCACTAACTGTACAGGTAGAGACTATGCCATTCAATAGATATGCCATAATATTTTTATTTTTTCTTTTTTTTAAGATTTTAATTATCTATTTGACAGAGCGCACTTGTGAGAAAGCACAAGCAGGGGGAGCGGTAGATGGAGAAGCAGTCCCTGCTAAGCAGGGAGCCCGATGTGGAGCTCAATCCCAGGACCCTGGAATGATGACCTGAGCCAAAGGTAGATGCATAACAGACCGAGTCACCCAGGTGCCTCTCCACTATATTTTTCTTGGGCATTTTTAAAAAAGATTTTATTTATTTATTCATGAGAGACAGAGATGTAGGCAGAAGGAGAAGCTGGATCCTTTCGGGGAGCCCTATGTGGGACTTGATCTCAGGTCCCCAGGATCATGTCCTGAGCTGAAGGTAGACCCTCAACCACTGAGCCACTCAGGTGTCTCTTTCTTTTTTCTTTTTCTTTTTTTTTTTAAAGATTTTATTTATTTATTCATGAGAGACACAGAGAGAGAGAGGCAGAGACACAGGCAGAGGGAGAAGCAGGCCCCATGCAGGGAGCCTGACGCAGGACTCGATCCTGAGTCTCCAGGATCAGGCCCTGGGCTGAAGGCGGTGCTAAACCCCTGAGCCACCTGGGCTGCCCCAGGCATCCCTTTCTTGGGCATTTAGGTTGCTTTCCCTTTTCTACTATTATAAGAAACATGATGGCATGAACATTCTCCCACATAGTTCATGGGGTGTACTTCCTTAGAATATGCTAACAGAAATGTAATCTCAGCTCTAAGGCCTGAGTGATTTTTCAGCCTCTTGGCACATGTTACCAATTGTTTGTCCAAGGGGTTGTGCATTCCCTAGCACCACATAAGAGTGCTGCCACTCATTCTGGACAGTACTTAGGCCTATTCATGGCTGAAGGATGTTTGGTAAAGACAGGGTAATTATGAGGGCAGAAAGCTAGAGAAGGAGAAAGATGATGACAGGGATTCAGGCTAAATTAAGCAGAAACTGATCTACAACTTACCACAGACCTACAGTGAGTCAGAACTCTGTTCATTCCCATTGTGAAAAAAAACCAAACAAACTCGATAACAGGAGTTATTAATAGGGCATGGCATGTCGGGTAATCTTTCCCTTCGACTATGCATTAGTCAGGCCCTCATTTGAGATGTGGATATTTAGTCTGGGTCACTGAACTTCACAGAAATGTGAGGAAACTGGCAAAGATCTATAGAGCTCGATCAACTTGAAGGACAATTTAAGAATTCCAGAGAAGAGTCAAAGGAATCAAGCAGGCTCATTTTGGAAAAAATAAAGACATCTTTTTTGCCTCAATGATGGGAAGTTTCTGCAGAAAGGCCAATACTCAGGTGTTAGTTTATGTCTTCAGAAGGCTGACTCCAAAAAAAGGGGGCTCCCATGACGCAGGAGAAATTTTTGTATAAGGTAGAACTTTTTCAGACTCTGGGCTGTTTATTTAGGTCTTGGGGTGAGCGCTCTTTGGCCATTGGCCCTGGAAATATCGGAGAAGTTTCCTGTTCTCTTTCTCTGAGTGGTTCAGATAGCCACTTGCTTCCCACTAGGTGCCTCTGGGGGCCCCCACCAGCTTAGCTTTGACTGTTTCCTGGCAGTCCCCTAGAGAAGGTTAGGTGAGGTCTCAGAGAAGTGCTCCCCAGTTTCCCTGGGCCAGCATTTTCCTTTATGTCTTCTCACATTTGCTCAGGGTGTGTTTACAGCCGGTCAAGTTGGCATGTCATGACGTCATCTGATCCTGCTATTCCAGCCCTGCCATTCAGAGTGGACTTAGAAGCTGGGTGGGGGCAGTGAAAATCACTCAAACAAGACCTTTTTGGTGATATAGAGTGGGACTGACCAGGAGACCTCAAGGTCATTTAGTTCAACCTCCTACAGAATAGCTTCCTACAACAGGTGCTTTACCTACATACTTTTGAATTCACACAACCTTGGAGGTAGGGTTTCATAGGTGTGGCATTGGAGATTAAGACGAGTTATTTGGGGGGATCCCTGGATGGGTCGGCAGTTTAGTGCCTGCCTTCCGCCCAGGGCATTGCCCTGGAGTCTTGGGATCGAGTCCCACGTTGGGCTCCCTGCATGGAGCCTGCTTTTCTCTCTCTGCCTGTGTCTCTGCCTGTGTCTCTGCCTCTCTCTCTCTCTCTCTCTCTCTCTCTCTCTCTCTGTGTGTGTGTCTCTCACGAATAAATAAATAAAATCTAAAAAAAAAAAAAAAAAAGACGATTTCTTTGTTCGGGGTCACACTGCTGGTAAAGGAGTGCCTGTGTTAAATTGGCCTGGCAATAAAATCTGTGCCCTTGCCTTTGGGACATACAGCAGAGAAAACTGTGGCCCAGAGAGGTGGAGTCTCCAAAGCCAAACAAGCTGACCTGGGACTAGAATTCAGGCTCCGAACTATTCATCATGGAGTCTTCCCAGGACACGTGGCCTCTTCGACTTCTAATGTGGGGAGGCCAAGGATGCGGCCTGGCTCAGACCAGCGTGGCTCAAGTTAGCTGAAAAGCAGTCAGGCTCTGGACAAATGCTGTGCAGCATTTGTTCGGACAGGCTGCATTCTTTGCCCTCCAGGCGCTGCTTGCAACCAACGTCGTCACAAGCCAGCTTCCAGGAGGGCTTGACAGGGCAATGGGCCCGGCTAGTCTGTTTCTTGTGGAGCCAATATATGGCCAGGGCGGAGCCGGAGAGGCATAGTGAAAAAAAAGTGGGGTCATAATCTCTGGGTTCTGGTCTATGCTGGGACCCATGGGACCTATGGTAAGTCACTTAAAACTGAATTTCCTGGTCTCAAAACCAGGCAAGAGTAAACTGCAGAACCTGAAGCGCGCGTACGCAAAAGCAGAATCGATACACTCCAAAGCAGTATCATCCGATGTGAGTTTCGCAGGCTATTGAGTCTTCTGGCCCTGCAGCCCCAGCGAGGCCGAGACTGCAATACCGGGAGAAAACGACAACTCCCAGGAAGCACCGGGCGGGCCCGTACGCGGGCAAAGGGATAAACTACAACTCCCAGGAGGCACCGGGCGGGCAGGCGCCGAGCGGTGACGTCTCGGGGGCCGGCGCGGGGCGCTGATTCGGCCGGAGCTGCCAGCGGGGTGGCTGCCGCCGCGGCTTGTTACAGCTGCTGGAGCAGCAGCGGCCCCCGCCCCCGGGCACCCCTCCTGGGCCCTCGACCGCCGGCCCTGTACTGTGAGTACGGGCGAGCGGCTTCGGGGTGGACCAACCGGGACCCTCCTCTCGGGGCTAGAGGCGGGGCGGGAAAGAAGGTGGGGGCTGCTGAGGAAGCGCCCCGGGCAGGAGCGGACCTGGGAAGGGTGAGCGGAGGTGGGAGGGGGTGCATCAGCCGAAGGGATGCCCACGGGGGAAGGGAGGGACGGGAGACCGAGTCTGGGGTGTCGCGAGGAGTGCTCGGGCCGGGGGAGGGGGCGGGGAGAGCCCAGAGCCCGGGCTTCGGGGATAAAGGTTTGGCCGCCTCCGGGGTTGGGTGAACGCGTGGACGTGGGGGTGGGGCTTCGGACCGGGCCGGGCTCCGAGTGCGAGGTCTCAGGCTGGGGAGCGAAGCGGGAGGCCCCTCTACGGCTTGAGGTCCCGCTCCGAAAATCCCAACAATAGCGTAGACTCCACCTCGTTTCACCCTCCTCCCCGGCTAGTGGAGGTTCGCCCCGGTACTCGTCGTCTTTCCATTCCCACTGCCCTCGCGAGTCCGGGAGGCAGGGCCAGACAGAGCTACGAGGTGAGTGACTGTGGCCCTGCGGGTTGGGCGGTGGGCAGAATGAAAATGGCATTGTGGAGTGCTGCCAGGCACTGCCCGCTGGGGTCCAGGTTGTGGGCTCTGATGTTTTTGTGCTTCTCTTCGAGAAGGCAAAAAAAAAAAAAAAAAAAAAAGGTTTGCTAATTAAAGGGCTTCCTTTACTTGGGGGAAAGAATGGGAAGCGCTCACCTGGCAGCTGTCCTGGGGCACACTGTGGCCTGGGCTTAGGTGCCAGACTGACAGGCGGGCAGGGATATTGGTGTGTGGAGCCAGGGTGGAAGGGAAAAAGAGTAGAGAAGAGCTACCAGCAAGAAAGTAGTTAACAGAACAGAGTTGCTGCAGGCTTTGGTTCAAGACAGGTTATGAAACCACATCAGGCACTGCCATGCAGCCACCTGCCAGCTGGGGCAACAACTTTTCAGCCTCAGCTGCTGTAGACTTACTTTACCTCTGCCAGGTTTTCCCTGTTTCTTCCCTTCACAGTGGAGGGGTGGGGTATGCAATTTTTTTTTTCGCTAGTGGAAGTGGTATGTACCCTTAGTCATGCAAACCTCTAGGAGTGCTCCTTGGGTGCCAGTTGTTTTCGTAGTTTCTTGATTTCTTGTCTTTTTGGCTGCCAGTCATTTTCTTAGTTTCTGGATTTCTTTCTTTTTTCTTTTTTTTTTTTGCGGGGGTGGGGGGTGTCTTCTGGGATTTCTGCTGTCAGGGCAGCTAGTGTTCAGTCTTTAGGAAGATGCTTCTGAGGGTATCAGTTAGGTCCTAGATCTAGGTTCTTCTGAGACTCATCAGTCTTCATTAGATGCTCTGTTTCAGCAAGACAGGAGTGTGGGATGATCTGAGATTCACCAAAGCCCTTGCTACTGCTGGACAAAATATGAGACACAGCTACAGATCTTTGTAATCCTGTACCTTTGTAGGTCTAGGAGAAGTGGGGAGGGGTAGCAGTTTCTGGTTAGACTTGGGGAACTCTGCCTCTCTCCTTAAAGACCACTTCCCTAGCCAGCTTCCCACTGCCCCAGGCTTTTGTGTGTACCCATCCCAGAAGCCATGTTAGGGTAACTGAAGCTCCAGGGCCTTGGGAAGGTAAACAACTGAGCCAGTCTCGGTTTTCTAGTTCCTTGGGTTTCTGTTAGGCCCAATTATCCAGCCTAATGGGCTGAGCTGATGGGCCCCAGGAGAATTACTTCTAGGATGCACTCTGGGCCATCTCAAACATGTTTGCATGTTGGGAAGGTGTGTTGTGGGTCACATTTCCCATGAGGTCTCTTAGCTTGGTGCTCTCTGAGAAGAGGAAACTTGTTCTCATTATTCTGGAAGTAAGGAACCGATCCTTGAGAATCCTGGCTCCCACACAGACTTGGCTGTGATCCTAGCCAGAGATAGATAGCATCTGAATCTGAGGGGGTTTGTTGCAGCAGGGTGAAGGAGGTGGCCTTCTGGGTACTTTCTGGTTACCTGCACCCAGGACCCGTTTCTGCACCCCCCCCCAAAGATGGGGTTGTTACCATGGTGATGACCTCAGGGCCTTTATTGGGGAGGACCTTTCCTCACCTAGGGAGGTGAGCCAGTATAAAGGTACAGTCCGTTCCCACCTCCTGCTGGTTTCAGGGCCCTTAGGGATCTGGGGACAGCTGAGCTCCAGACAAGGGGCTACTCATTCCCCTCCTTATGTGCATCCAGGAATACATCTGGATTGCATTGTTTCTGGGACATCCAGGGCAGCCCTCCTGGTTCCTCCTGCTGCAGGCCTCTGGCATTGGAGCTTGGGCAAGGAAAGCATGGCGCAGGTGCTGGGAAAAGAGGCTGAGGGGTGAGGCTGGGCTGGGCAGAGAGGAATGGGGGCAGGAGGCAGGTAGGGTTTTTGTGTCCTTGGGAGGTGGGTGTTGGTTTCAGCAACTTGGAGCTGTAGATGTTCTCCATCCTCGCCCCTCCTATGGTGGGGAAAAGGGCCCTGGTGGTTTGGCAGCAGAGTGGATGGCATCACAAGGGTTAGCCTGAGCGGCTGCCAGATGCATAAAACATCTCGCATGGGTTGTTTTGTGTCACCAAGAAAGAGGCCTCCAAGTCTGGGCAGAGGTTGTCCCTCGTCTCTTGTCTTCTCTTTTCTTCCTTCCCTCCCTCTTTCCACTCTGTCGGTTCTCCTGGATCAGAGTTGGGAGAGATCCAGGATTGGAGAATTAGGGGAGGGGTTAGAAGTAGTGATCCCTAAATATTGCATCTACTTCTGTGTGTTCTCATAGCCCCCACCCCCTTTTGTTAATTCTTTTTTTTTTTTTTCCCTCCTATTGTTAATTCTAATGGTGGGGAAGCTCAGAGGTAGGAAATGCCCCATATCAGGCCCTTAGCACAGTCCAGCAGGGGTGTGTTGAGTGATTCTGAGGGGACAGACCTCTTCTCCCCTCCCGTGGGCCTTGTGGGAAGAGGGCCTTATGGGAATGCTCTGAAGGATGAGATTGGAGAACAGGCAGTGTTTTTTTTTTTTTTTTGCTCTGGTTTGGATGCCTCTTGCTGACCTATGTACCCAGGCTATCCCAGTGCCTGGAGAGGCACCGTCCCGAATAACCGATGTAGGGGGCAGCCGGGTGTTTATCCCAGCCCGGCAGTGGGAAATGAATGGAGTTAAGGCCATACGGCCTTTCTTTGGCCTCTTTGCTTGAGAATCAAAGCAGCAGAACTGCCTGGAGTTCTTGGGAGAGCATGGCCTCCTTCCCTGAAGGATTTGGATGGTGTGAGGGGGCAGGGAAAGTGGTGTGACCTGTCTCACCTGTGCTGCTTGTTTGCAGAACAGCGGCAGGAGAGGGGCAGCAGGATGAATGTGGGCACAGCTCACAGTGAAGTGAACCCCAACACGCGGGTGATGAACAGCCGCGGCATCTGGCTGTCCTATGTGCTGGCCATCGGGCTTCTCCATGTCGTGCTGCTCAGCATCCCCTTTGTCAGCGTTCCTGTTGTCTGGACCCTCACCAACCTCATTCACAACATGGTGAGGGCCTGACTGCTGCCTGCCCTGGGCCATGTGGGCTGCTCTTTGGTGGGGCTGAGGAGTAGGAGGGCTCCCCCCCCCCCCCAGACATGGGCCAGATGTCAGGGTGACATGCTGACAACATTTGTCCAATTCCAGACCCAGCTCTCATCTCTGCCTCCGCCCCCCGACCCCACCCCGACTCTGGGTTCCAGCCATGTGCACTCTGATAAGAGGACTAAAATTTGCAGATTTTTGCACATCTCCAGAATGGGGTAGCTTGTGGACCTGGAGGGAAGGCCACTGGGAGCTGAACTAAGGGCTCCAGAGAGTTCCTATGACCCGGGCGCCCATCCTGGCACAGAAATGCCCCACTCCCAAGTCTGGATCTCCAGCCATCTTCCATTCTGGCCTCTATGCTTCCTCAGCCCTTGCTTGCTAGCTTGTACTCTTTGGTAGGCAAGCAGGGCCCATCAGCTCGTCCCTGCCTAGCTGGCATAGGGAAGCCCCTACTGGGCCAAAGGGGCATTTCTGCAGCTAAGTTCTCCCCATGCTTCATCCTCATGCCAGGCCTGCCCTCACACCCAGTGGATCCTCTTCTCCAGCCAGCCTCCCAGCTGCTGCATCCTGACCTACAGCCCACATTCCTCTGCCCCTCAGAGGGAGGCTCCACATAACCTGGAGCCCACTTTGACTAGGATGGAGGAGCTGAGCCAGAGGGCCTTTTGCGTTTTGTGTCCTCTAACGACGGCCCCTCTTCCCAGGGCATGTACATCTTCCTGCACACGGTGAAGGGGACACCTTTTGAGACTCCGGACCAGGGCAAGGCAAGGTTGCTAACCCACTGGGAGCAGATGGACTATGGGGTCCAGTTCACAGCGTCTCGGAAGTTCTTAACCATCACACCCATTGTGCTGTGAGTGCCTGGGGTAGAGAAGGATGCCAGCAAGCAGGCCAAGGCCCGGGGGACCTGGGCCCTGCCAGGCTTAAACCTCCCCTGGCTCTGGCTTTTGGCATGGGAATGAGTAGAGGAAGGGAAGTTGGAGTATCCCTGGGTCCTCTGCTGGGCTCAGTCCTGGTGCCTCCCTGGCTTTGTCTTTCACCAGATGGACTTTCCTGCCTGCCAATGATGGAAGCCCATAGACCTGGGATAAAGCAAGGGGGCTGGGTCGGGAGGGATCTCTTTAACCGGGAAGATCTTGCCACCTGGCTTCTGTTCTGGGGGGGTCTTTCCTGTAACTCCTTGGCTGCCAGGGATCTGCCACTCCCCACCTAGGAGTGAGGGAGAAAGGGGTCCTCCAAACAGAATCTTATTCCTCTTCCTAACCTTCTCACCCAGGTACTTCCTCACCAGCTTCTATACCAAGTACGACCAGATCCATTTCATCCTCAACACTGTGTCCTTGATGAGCGTGCTCATCCCCAAGCTGCCCCAGCTCCACGGAGTCCGGATCTTTGGAATCAATAAGTACTGAGGGTGCAGCCCCTTCCCCTGCCTGGCATGGTGGGGGAGGGGTGGAAGCTTGTGCTGGGATGCTGAAGACAAGAAGAGCCTCTGGATCCTGCTAGAGATGGGGGTCAAGCCTCTGGGCCCTAGTTCTCCCCTCACTTCCCCCGTAGCCGACTTGAAGTAGCTTGTAGTGGGGTTCGGTTGGGCCCCCCAGGTCTCTGACCCTTTCTGATTTTTTTGATCTTTTTCTTTTGCCTTTTGGATAGAGACTTCGTGGGGACGGTCATGGGATGGGCTGGGCTCCCGGCTGAATGCAGACCTATGAGGTTGGGACAAGAGAAACCCCCTGCTCACTTGCTCATCCTCGGACTGCTAAAGCACTTTAACCCCTGCAAGGGGAGCAGGGGGATGGTACAGCTTCTAGACGGTTTCACTTTAATTCTTAAACCTTTAGGATGACCTCAGTGTGTGCTCTTATATATAAAAGCAAATACGTGATGGTGCCTCATCCATCTGGGTAGAGAACTGTCTTGCAAGTCTCATCATGCTTCTGGCAGCTCCCCTACAGCCCACCCTGGTACTGGATTGGAGTGGGGAGGGGAAGGAGAGAGGTGGTGGGGCTGGGTGTGGATGGCCTGCTCCCAGAGGCGAGGGGGCCATGGCCACTCTCACCTTGGCCCTGGTGAGGTGGGGAGGGTGGTTGGGGGAGGGTGGTTGGGTCAGGGGTGGGGATGATGAATTGAGACCTGGAAGAAGGGGCCACATAGCAGCAGAGACTGGTGTTAGGAAGGAGGATGGGAATAGAAGTCAGACCTAATCTCAGCCTTTGGGAAGTGGTGAGGATGGGGGCAGGCTCAGAGTTAATCTCCCTATGCATGGTTGTGATAATAGGATGGTGATAATAGGACGAGAGGCTGTGGGGGGGTTAAGGATCCTGGGTTTTTGTGAGGGGTGGTGGGGGTGGAAAAGGCCTGTGAGTCCTTGTAGCACAGGTCCCGTTTGACACTGCCTTATGCAGTGGTGTGAGGGGTGTGGGGAAGCTGGGACAAATGATGAGTGATAGGGTCCTTCTGCAGCCTCCACCTTGTAACCTCCTGATGCAGACTGGAGCTGGTGCAGGGCCTCTTGTGTGGCATGTACCTGTGGGGTTCTGGGGCCACCCCCAAATGGGGTGGGTGGGCCACGGAATGGTCCCTGCTCAAGCAGGATGGTGGAAGGAGCCACAAGTTACCTGTAGGCGCTGTCTCCTTAGCCTGGGGGCTGGAGATGTGGAGCAGGAGCCAGAGGGTGGGTGAAGAGGAGCCGCCCCTTCTCCCTTTCCTGGTCTGACCAGGGTCTGTGTTACTTTGAAAAAGGTGTGGGTGCCTGTGCCCCCTCCCAGGGCCCTGAGGGAGGAGAGGAGGTCATTGGTCCCATTTTCTGCCTCCTGGTTCCCCGCCCCCCGCACCCCATGTATCATAGGGAACTTTCACCTCAAAATCTTTCTAAGCAATGTGTGAATAGGATTTTTACTCCCTTTGTACAGTATTCTGAGAAACGCAAATAAAGGACAGTGTGTTCCTGTTTCCTCCGAGTCTGGCCTCTGCTTCCTGGAGGGCCCAGGGGAGGGGGCAGGGATTTGGGCAGTGGCTCCCACTGAGGGCAGTGTGGGAGCATCAGGGCCCCCGCGGCCTAGGCGGCCCAGATGGTGGGAGGGGCTCTGGGGCTGCTGCTGCTCCTGCTGTCTGGAGCAGAGCCAGCCTGAGGGCTGGGGGGGGGGGACTGGCAGAGGCGGCAGCAGACCAGAGGGCAGAATTCTGCTCTGTGGCCTTGCCTGGCTCTTCCTGTCTGAACGCAGGCCTCTGGGCTCCTGGGCCTATCTGAGCCAGGCTGCGCTGGTGGCGGGGATGGCTGCTGCGTGGCCCGGAGGAGGGTCAATCCCCTAGTGACTTCGTGAGCGAAGCCAGGGTCCTGAGGGCTGCCCAGGTCTTTCCTCAGGATGCCTTCCTCCGTTCTCACAGTTCTTTCCTCCCCCTAGGAGGGCTGCTTCCTTTCCTCTGCCCTAAGTGCGTGCCTGTGTGTGTGTGTGGGGGGGGGGTAGGTGGCAGAGGTGAGCCTCCGGGAGGCCAAGAAAGGAAGGAGTCCTTTAGTGAAGGAACTCTGATCCTCTCAGCGTGTGCTCTGCAGTATCACGTGCTGTTCCTAGGACAGGTGTAAAGTCCCAGGTAGGAGGGAGAAGAGCTGCCTTGGGCGGTCTGGGCTCCTCTCTGGCTCGGGGCCAGCACCAGTGTCCTTGGGTTGGGTGTTGGGAAGAGTGCAGGGTCTTTGCCCAAGTCCACTGAGTGGACAGTGATGGGAGGACCAATACAGCCAGCTGGGCCCAGGCCCGGGGGTGAGGGGAGGGGGTGCCCCGAGAGCTTCCATGGACTTGGAGGGCAGTCAGGGTGAGAGGCTGGTGCACATCAACAATAATCAGGGTTCAAATCCTGCTTTGCCACTTATTACCACGTGGTCTTGCCAAGTTACTTCTCTGAGCTTCAGTTTCTTCCTGTGTTGTGGAAGGACAATACATGTCAGGGCTGTTGTGAGGATTAGCATCACACCTGGTCGTAAATACTTGATATGAGGTAGCCACATTAGTAGGATTCCTATCATTGCTACCACAATCATCGCCTTAAAACATTGCTTTGGAACTGAGGGAGATGGGGCCACACTCAGGTGGTTTATCTCTGAGGACCGAGGGGGGCGGGGCCAGAAGCCTCTCCCTGGAGAAGGAGGTGGGTGAAGAGGACAGGTGGAGGCCTCTCCCTGAGAGGGCTACATGAGCGCACATGTGTCGAGGGAGGCTGGGTCCTCCTTGCCGTCCAGCCTGTTCCCCACACCTGTTAGACGCTGTCATTCTGTCTTTAGCATTGCCCACCATAGTGTGGTGTTGTGGTGTTTGGTTCCGGCTCAATCGCTCTCCTCATATCTCTGGCACATCCATAGCTGTTGCCTGCTGGCACTTGGATTGCGTGGCCCAGTATGCCTCGTTCTGCATCATTCTCTCGCCCAAACTCCCCTAGAATACACACCAGGTGAATGTATATATCTTTCTCTTCCCTGCTCCCTGAGTCCAAGCGGAGGGAAGAGTTTCTTATCTCAGGCCTTATCTGCCTCCAGCCCAGCCATTACGTGGCTTATCTAAAGGCCTGAGAAGTGGGGCTCCTGGCCCTACCCAGCTCTCCACTTCTTTCATTTCCCTTCCATAGGCTTTCCTGAGACGCAGCCCCTGTGCAGGGATCTTTCAGAGGGGATTCTCACGACCGCCATTCCTGGTGAGCAGCTAAGGTGAGTGGCTGGGATGAGCCTGTGGGTTCTGGGCACTGCCTTTCCGGACACCCAGAAGAATTCCCAGGCTGGGAGTGAGCTAAGAGCTGGCCACCATGATGAGGGCAGGGATGGAGAAGCGAGCATGGGTGAGTAAGGTGCCTGGGCCAGCCAGAAGGGACATAGGGACAGGTGACCAGAGGTAGGATGGGGAGGTGGAGCCTAGAAAACTTGTGAGGGGAGTCCTGGCCCCAGGAGGGAAGCAGAGGAGCCTGAAGGAAGGGAAACAGATCTCAAGAGGAAGGAGTTGCAGAGTGACAGAAGGGGAGAGAGAGAAGGATTTGGCAGGGCACCTGGGTGGCTCAGTTGGTTAAGCATCTAACTCTTGATACCGGCTCAGGTCATGATCTCAGGGTTGTGAGATGGAGCCCCTTGTCAGGCTCTGTACTCAGCGGGGAGTCTGCTTGAGATTTTTCTTCTCCCCTGCCCCTCCCCCACTCATTCAAATAAATAAAGCAACCTTAAGATAAAAAAGGATTTGGAGGTAAGAGCACCTGAAGGGTCCACTGTGGTGGGGACAAAGAACTGCTGCTGAGTAGAAACAGGGAAGGACCAGCTGTGTGTATCAAGCTGGACTGGTAATGGGTCTATGAAGGGTTCTGCAGGGGAGCAAGAGAATATAGGGGCCAATTTTAGACCGGAGTGGGTAGAGGGGAGTGGAGGGGGGAAGATGCCCCAGGTGGGGTTTTGGGATCCATTTTATTTTACCAAGAGTAAGGGGACCCTCCAGAGGGTGACCAGTAACTGAAGAGACAGGACCTGGGGGTGGGAGGCTATGCAGGGCACCCACCCCCAAACCACTCTTACACTCCATTCTTTCTCTCTTCTTTCTTCTGAGGCCAATTTACTGCTGTCTCATTGGGAAATGGTTGGTAAGAGCACCCATCCCATTGCCTTGCAGAATACAGCAAGGGAAGGAGGCCCAGGAGTCAGAGCCAAGGGAGGAAATAATCACTGGGGTTGGCAATGTGAGGTCCAGCAGCCATGCCCCTCATCCCTTCATGAGCCCTCTGTTCGTCAACATTGGCGGGGCTCTGGCTGGAAGATGGTGGGCCTGCCTACTCCTCAGGCCCCTCTGAGTAAAGGTGCAACTCTGCTGTGGGAGATGCAGAAGACAGGTCTCACTCTCCTTTCCATTTGAGGTAATCACTGCTCCATCTTTCCTCCAGAAGGGTTCTATAAAGGACAGAGGAGAATCTAGCATGTGTGATGGTTACCTTCCTTAGTATGTAGTGACCACCTCACCTTCTAGGAACAGGAAAGGCAGATAATTCCAAGTCTGATTATTCTAGAACTTTTGGATCCTCGTTGACCCCAGGCTGCCAAAGGTAGATTTAAAAATTTGAACCAATATTCCCCTCCCCCAAACAAATTGGCTTCTTTTTCTCCAGCTCAGGGACAATGTCTAGCATATTTGAGGAAATCACAAGAGTTGTAGTCCAAGAGATGGATGCTGGAGGGGATATGATTGCTGTCAGAAGCATCCTTCACGCTGACAGATTTCACTGCTCCTCTCTGGTGAGGGGGAGGAGAAATTTCTGGGGACATCAGTACCACAGGACAGACCTCATCCTGGAGGACATACTGGAGAGAGGGGAGGGTGAAGAGCTGTTTGAGAAGCTGGATTCTGGGCCCCAAGGTCAGTGTGAGGGGTTAAGAGATGGCCAGCTAGGAGACTTTGTCCACTCCTGCTCTACCACCCTGTCAACTCCCCATTGCCAGCAACCATGGCAGCCAGTCAACAAAGAATTTATATGTCCTAGAACCTGTATGCATGTTCATACACCTCAGTTTGAGAAATGCACAAAAGATGTTAACTGGAGTTTAAATAAAAACTTTTCAAAAAAATGCACAAAAGAGCTGCATGGGGAAGTGGAAATAATTCTCCCCCCCCCTTTGACTGATTTATTCAGCAGAAAACACAAGGTCATACACCAAAGGCAGTAACTATAGAGGTCCTGAACCCATGTTAGGGCACAGAGCAGAGACATGTCATAATTTACTAGAAGGCGTAATCGGACTCCAGAGCCTGGATTTCTTCGATTTCTTCCAGTTCCTCTCCTGCCTCCTGGCCTTGCACCTGCTGTTCCTTCTGCTGGGAATGCTCTTTCCCCTACCTACCTACATACCTACCTACTTATTTATTTATTTATTTATTTACTTATTGTGTATTTTTTTTATTGGAGTTTGATTTGCCAACATATAGTATAACACCCAGTGCTCATCTCACCAAGTGCCCCCCTCAGTGCCCATCACCCAGTCACCCCATCCCCCCGCCCACCTCCCCTTCCACCGCCCCTTGTTCGTTTCCCAGAGTTAGGAGTCTCTCATGTTCTGTCTCCCTCTCTGATATTTTCACTCATTTTCTCTCCTCTCCCCTTTAATCCCTTTCACTATTTTTTATATTCCCCAAATGAATGAGACCATATAATGTTTGTCCTTCTCCGACTGACTTATTTCACTCAGCCTAATACCCTCCAGTTCCATCCACGTCGAAGCAAATGGTGGGTATTTGTCGTTTCTAATGGCTGAGGAATATTCCATTGCATACATAGACCACATCTCCTTTATCCATTCATCTTTCGATGGACACCGAGGCTCCTTCCACAGTTTGGCTATTGTGGACATTGCTGCTAGAAACATCGGGGTGCAGGTGTCCCAACGTTTCACTGCATCTGTATCTTTGGGGTAAATCCCCAGCCGTGTAATTGCTGGGTGGAAATTATTCCTAAATTGTCTTCCCCATGTTTTCCATTTATAAATAATTCACTTTTAAGTTAGCTGAGGTCTTCTGGTGTGTTTGTATGTTTATCATTGAGATGAATAAATAAATGAGGCAGTTTGCTTAGTGGTTAAGAAAGGACACAGGTGGGCAGCCCGGGTGGCTCAGTGGTTTAGCGCCACCTTCAGTCCAGAGCCTGATCCTGGAGACTCAGGATCGAGTCCAACGTCAGGCTCCCTGCATGGAGCCTGCTTCTCCCTCTGCCTGTGTCTCTGCCTCTCTCTCTCTTTCTGTGTGTCTCATGAATAAATAAATAAATAAAATCTTTAAGAAAAAGAAAGGACACAGGCCTTTCAGCTGAGAGCTGAGGGCACTTGGTTTCTAGCCTGGTTCTGCCTCTTACCAGCTGGGTGACCGCTGGACAAGTTGCTTTCTTCCTTTAAGTCTGTTTCCTCATCTGTCAACTTGAGAAGACTGTTGCAAAAACCAAATGAGATAAATGAGGTAAATCATTGATTACAGTGACTGTGCAGAAGGAACATTCAACCAAAGTTCAGTCTCGCCATTCCACTGCTGGTTCTTATCCCTCATGTTCCCCAGAGATCATGACTGAGTAGGTGACCAGAACTCTCTAAAGGCTTGAGGGACTTATAGAGGAGTCTATTCCATTTCTCTGCCTTCAAACGCAGGTTTTTGTATTTCAGAAGCCCCAGGGTAAATGTTGTTGAACCCTCACTGAGAGACTTCTTTCAGTGTCTTACACCTCAGGGTGGGGACTTTTCTGGCTCATACATCTCCACTATGGCCCATCTGGACTTCACCAAAAGATGGAAAAGAATCCAGACAGTACCACTGTACAGTTTTAATGGCCGTGTGCCAGACACTGCCATTATGTGACCAAGAGCAGGGCCCAGATTACTTGGAGGTGGTGGGCCTTTCCACAAGTGAAGTTTCGTTAAGCAAGCAGGGGGCTTCAGGCAAATTTCAAGATTATCATTTTTCAAAGACTGAGTCAATTCTCTGAAAAGCAACTTGCCAAGAGGCAATTTACTTAAAGCTGGTTCTCAAAAAAGTTTGCTAAATGACCAGTTCATTGAAAACAAAACAAAATAAAAGCCCTTTAAACTAGGTCTAGGATATTTTGCCATGATCATATGACTCCCCAGGGACAGGAGAAAGCATTAAGTACAGAAAAATATTGACTAAGTCCGTTAACTTCCTTTAAGGGAAAGGCTATTTGCATAAAAAATTCAGAGGCAGAGGTGAAACCAAACTTAAAAAAAAATCCTTACAAATGAAGTGGATTGGTAATTTGAATTGATTTTCAACAATTTGGCCTGCTTCATTTTCAAATGGGTTATTTATTTTTTAACTATATGGTGCTGATGGTATGGTTAAAGTGTAGGTAGGGTTTTGTTTTCTGTTAACTAAAGTCCACATACTTTGATTATCTTGGTGCTTACCTAATCTCTTTCCTCTGTTCCAAGATTTTTTAAAATTATTCTTTTTTTTTAAAGATTTATTTATTTATTCATGATAAACACCGAGGGGGAGAGAGAGAGAGAGACAGACTGAGGCAGAGGCACAGGCAGAGGGAGAAGCAGGCTCCATGCCAGGAGCCCGACACGGGACTCGATCCTGGGACTCCAGGATCGCGCCCTGGGCCAAAGGCAGGCGCCAAACAGCTGAGCCACCCAGGGATTCCTTTTCCAAGATTTCATCCAGGATACCACCCTACCTCTAGTTATCATAGCTCCTGAGGCTTCTCTTGGCTCTGAGAGTTTCTCAGACTTTCCGTTTTTTTTTTTTTTTTGACTTTCCTTATTTTTGATGACCTTGACAATTTGAGGAGTCAGGCATATTGTAGGATGCTTGTCTATTGGAATTTGCTCGATGTTTTCTACTCCTGGCTAGACTGAAGTAATGGGTTTTGGAGAGGGAGACCATAGAGGTAAAGTGCCATTCTCACTGCATCATAGCAAGAGTATGTGCTATCAACATGATTTATCCCTGTTGATGTTGACCTTGGTCACCTGACATGGTGTTTGTCCGGTTTCTCTGCTGTGAAGTTAGTCTTTTTTTCTCCTTCTCCACATGATACTGTTTTTGTGCATAAGGTTTCATTTTTCTTTTCTCTTGGACAAAGTATATGCAAACTTTTATACTGCCCAAGAAACAAATGGGCTGAGGACATCAGTGTCACACATAACAGGACTGATGTGAAGCACTATTTCTGGTTCCATCACACTTCCACCAATTCCAAAATGCATTTTTTCTCTGGAGACCCAGCCCTGCCCACCCCCACCTCCCCTTACTCAAAACCAAGGAGTAGAAGCTCTGCCTCCTATGTAAGTTCACATCTGGGAGGTCTGAGAGAAAGGCACTTGGCCTGGCAGCACTTCCACACGTGTTCCACTAACCCCAGCGCAGCAGCTGACTTGGAATCTGGGTTCTCATGAAAGCGCCCAGGCTGGGCAGAGTCCACACAGATGGGTAACTTTCCAGAATTGCTTTACTTTGTACTTGCATAGTTCATACAAATGCTGGAGACAGAACTCTGCTTCATTCTTATTTCCCAATTGGCAGGGGCTCCTAATTCTTTTTTTTTTTTAAGATTTTATTTATTTATTCATGAGAGGGAGAGAGAGAGACAGAGACACAGGCAGAGGGAGAAGCAGGCTCTATGCAGGGAACCCGATGTGAGACTCGATCCCAGGTCTCTGGAACCACACCCTGGGCCAAAGGTGGAGCTAAACCACTGAGCCACCTGGGCTGCCCCTTAATTCTTTTTTTTTTTTTTTAAGATTTTATTTTTATTTATTCGTGAGAGACACACAGAGAGAGAAGCAGGCTCCATGCAGGGAGCCTGATGTGGGACTCGATTCTGGATCCTGAGATCATGCCCTGAGTCAAAAGCAGACGTCCAACCACTGAGCCACCCAGGCGTCCCTTGTTTTTTTTTTTTTTTTTTTTAAAGATTTTATGCCCCTTAATTCTTTTTTTTTTTTTTGCCCCTTAATTCTTAAGCTTCACTTTTCCTTGTCTCATTTCAGCCTCTCAAATAGTTAAATAGGACTAGCTCACATTTATTGAGCATTTAGTATGTATGGGAGGCATTTTGCTAATCAATGCTTAACTGCATTGTTTTATTTCATTTCCTTAAGTGCAGAAAGTTCTCCTATGGATGAAGAAACAGATCTGAGGAGGTTAAATGACTTATCCAAGGTCACTTGGTAAGAAGGTGACAGAATGGGTTTACACCCAGGATTATGTGACCCTGTAATGACTCCTGGTGACCACAGGGTTTCCTGGGAGCCACAGCTGGAGGACCTCCTCAGAAGGAAAGGGGGTCGTGGAGGGGATCCCAGGATAGGGCTGCCTCAGGGAGGATATTCTGGAGAGAGATATTTTGGATCTTTACCCTTTTCTTTCCAGAGAACTCCAAAGGCTGAGGTTCCGAGTTCTGGACACAGGAGACTCAAAGGGAATGTTGACGGTGAAATTACCCAAAGAAATAACAATTGCAAGAGCCCTCCACAAGTCCCACAAGCAGAGAGTCCAGATGTTGGAGACTCATATACCCCAGCAATATCTGGATTTCCTTGAGCTCAGGGAGGCTGGAGTTGGGCAGCGTGGTGGGGGGGAACACCCATTTTGGGCACCAAGGGCATCTGAGGTGGAGGTGTCCTAGCTGTGCAACCCCTTATGCCCTACTCCCAACACTCCCCAAGCCTGCTCCTCACTTAAGCCTGCCCTCCACTTCCCCCTTTAGGAAGGCTTGTCATTCTTCCTGGTCAGCCTCCAGGAAACATTCTTATACCCCCAACTCACATTCCTGCTACCCTCCAGGGTGATTGATTCCTCTGACTTGGACCAGAACATGCACGCTTGTTTCAAGAGGCCACTCTCCTTTGTTCTCCTACAGAGTTGTCCAGATATGTGTTCTGTGCAGTTTCACTCTGCAAGCCATGCCCCCTTACTCTGTGGACTAGTAACAGGTGGTGACCCAGCAGGACTGGCTTTACTAACCTCTCTGTGTTTAGCCCCACACAGTAGGTGCTCAGTAAGATGGCCAAAGTGAAGTGCAGTGAAATCAAAGCACCCCTGCACAGAACATTTCCTGTACAGAAAGTGCCACCCCCTTACCTCCCCAAGGGTGGCGCTGACCAAGTGCCACAGAGGTTCTGATGGCTGGGGGCATGGTGCTTCCAAGGGACTTACAGGGACAAAACCACCCTTCCCCCTCAGCAGATATTTTGTTGGTGGTGTGGCTGTTTTCTTTCCCAGCTGAGGTTGTCAGAAAATGTGGAGCAACTTAGGGAAGGGGACTCAGTGTTGCTCCTGTACTAGCCTTCCTTGAGTGTGGTGGTACCTTTTGTTTTCCTTTTTTAATTAAAAAGTGAAAAGCTTACACTGAAATTTTACTGGTCCTTTGAACTAACCCTCCCTACCATAGAGTTTTTCTGAGGGAGCTCAGTTTTTTTCTAGAATGCCTGTTGTTTCTAGAATGAGGCTCTGTGGTATGTGTATATAGAGTTGGGAGGGGAGGGTATTAGGTAGAGGGAGGTTAGCAGAAGCAAGGATGTAGGTCTTCTTTGAGGGTCCTTTGGCTGCACATACTAGAAGTTCCATCAGGCTATGTTTAGTCACAAAATGCATTTCTTTATGGAATCAAAGATACCTTCTGGAGCTCAAGGCTGTGGACAATGTGGCCAGGTCCCAGGGACCAGTGTGTGGAGTTGGAGCCCCATCTCAGAGAAGTGGGTATTATGACCTGGTAAAATGCATGTCTCAGTGCCATGGAAAGGGCCTATGGTTTGGACTCATACAGACTAGGGGCTGAATACCAACTCTGTACTTATTAGCTGGGTGACCTTGGACCATTCACAACTGTCTCTAGGCTTCAGTTTCCTCATGAGAAATGGGTGCAATTCTGCCTACATCATAAGCTTGTGGAGAGGGGGAAATGAAATGATCTGTGAAGTATCTCATGGTGTTGTCACACTGTAATCTTCCACAGATGCTAGTGAGTCCCCTTCCCACTTCCCACCTCCTTGCCCCCACAGTGGGTACAGTGAACTATGATGGAGTACATGTTCCTTGGTTTCCCAGCCTCAGAGACCCTTAATCTCAAACAGGAACTAGCTGATGGAGAGGGAGAAATGTCACTGGCAGGTGGGGCTTCTGGAATCTTGAGCTCTACTCCCCACCCCAACCCCCACTCCCTCCAGGAAGCTGAGGAAAAAACTACCTACTTTGTTGCAATCAATCTGGAGAATGAGAGCCGACCTGTGACAGAGACTCTGGAGATGGCAAGAAGGAAACCCTGAAAAGTGAACAGCAGTACACGTTGTGGGACTGGATTAATACTGGGTTAGCATCCTGGGAGTCAGGGCCTGCGAGAAAATAAGCCTTGGCCCACCTGCAGTAGGTCAGGGGGCGCCAGCCCAGACCCCAGGCTCTTCAGCTCTTATGTCAGACTTCCTAAGCAGTATTAACTGCTCCTTGGCCTTCTCTTCTCACCCCAAGAACGAGTGTGTGGCATTGCTAAGTCCCTTCCCTGCCTCTCTCCTGAGATGTCTTTTTCATTTGCTTTTTAGGCTTTCTCACGGTTCATAACTACATGGAGATTTTTTGCTTATTCTCTCTCCCTTTCTGAGAGACAGGAAGGCAGGAGCCATAGTGCCTGGAAGAAAAAGTGTCCCCAATAAACATTTATTGAATCAACAGTGGAAACAACATGAGTTTTGGGGTCAGATGTGTGTTCATATTTCAGCTCTGCTACTGTTTTAGCTATGAAACTGGCTTATCTACTGATACTTTAAAAAATTTATTTATTTGAGAAAGAGAGAGCAAGAGCACATGAGCAGGAGGAGGGGCAGAGGGAGAGGGAGAAGCAGACTCCCTGCCCAGCAGGGGACCCTGAGACCATGACCTGAGCTGAAGTCAGACTCTCATCCCATTGAGCCACCCAGGCACTCCTACTGATCTTTTTTGAGTCTCAGTAAAACGGAGATTGTTTGGGAGATCAAGCAAGATAACTACACAAAGTACCTACAGATTAATCAATATGAATTCTTTTTTTTCCTAACACCAAAGGTCAGTGACCAGCCCCCTAAAGGGGGTCCTGGACTATCAAGTAAAGCAACTCATCTTCCTCAATATAGGGAGAATGAGTAGGCAAGGCCTGGTAGGGGCAGGTTCAGCTAGGCTCTGTGTCAGCCTGGAGGGGCCCCAAGTGAGCCTGAGGTGGGGGAAAGTCTTGAGGAGGGGGAGGGTTCAGGGCTGGGAAGGAGAACTGAGGCTCCTTGCTCAGACATCCAGGATTTGCCCCACCATGGCACTAATCCTCCCCTAGCTAGAGATGTTAACTTCTAGCTCTTTCTTTCTTTCAAGAATTTACGTATTCATTTGACAGAGAGAGAGAGAGAGCGCGCGCGCGCACAAGCAAGGGTAGTGGCAGGAAAAGGAAGAAGGAGAAGCAGGCTCCTTTCCCAAACAGGGCTCTGGGATCATGACCCAAGCTGAAGGCAGACATTTAACTGACTGAGCCACCCAGGCGCCCCTCCTCTTTTTGAGTTTGTGTTCATTTTTTGTTTTGGTGAGGGGCAGGGCATGAGGATTGGGGAGAAACATGAAAGAGGAACTTAACAGAGACAGAGAAGGAACTTGTCTTTCTGAGAACTAGTTTTCTCTCTCTCTCTCTCTCTCTCTCTGGCACAAGTTTCTTGTTTCTTGGACAACGCAAAATCTTTTCCAGAAGATGAATTGGCTTCTAGGCCTTCTGTTCATCATTTCAGAATGGGCAAAGACGCTATTTTTAAACATATTTTATTTATTTATTCATGAGAGACACACAGAGAGAGGCAGAGACACAGGCAGAGAGAGAGAAGCAGGCTCCATGCAGGGAGCCTGATGTGGGACTCAATCCTAGGACTCCAGGACCATGCCCTGGGCCAAAGGCAGGCACTAAACCGCTAAGCCATCCAGGGATCCCCATGGGATACTATTTTTTAAGAGGATAACAAATGGCCTGAAATTATAGGGTTCTTAGGGTTGAGAATGGAATAGGATGCACCCAAGGGTGGGAACTTTGGTATGGGTAGGCAAAAAACCCTGCTTGTTGGAGAAGCAGGTTGGATTGTATGTTGGCCTAGGGTTTTCAGGCTCTGACAATTTTGACTTGCTTTGTGCAGGTCAGTGTGCCGGGTCCTGGGGTCCCAACCCTTACTGAAGGCTTAGAAGTGTAGGAAGCATGATTGAACTACATGTCCAGTTTTCACATGATAGCACTAGCTGGGAAAAGATCACTAGAACTGGGGGTCAGAGGGTTTCAGTGTCTAGTTGTGGCTCTGCTACTCATTAGCCCTGTAGCCTCCTGAGCCACGGTTATCCTGACTTTAACCCGAGTGGATTAGGCTAGAGGATCCCTGTGATTCTGAATGTGGCTTCATCTGGAATTTCATAGTCTTCCCCTGGATCCCAAAGGAGGTGTACTGCTTAGGAGGCTATGGGAACGGGTAGAGAGAGGTCTAGATGTGGTAGAAAATTCAAGAAACTCCCAGAAGCTGTAGAAGTGGCTGATTCAGACCTGGTAAGGTCTTGAGTGAATCTCTGTCTTTTAAAGTGCCTTAACATCAGTGCCTGGGTGGCTCAGTTAGTTAAGCATCCGACTCTTGGTTTCAGCTCAGGTCATGATCTCAGCATTGTAAGATTGAGCCCCATGTTGGGCTCCATGCTCGGCTCAGAGTCTGCTTAGGACTCTCTCTTCCTTCTCCCTTTGACTTGCCACATTCTCGCTCTCTAAAATAAAATAATCTTTAAAGTGCCATAACGGAGGATGCAGGAGATAGATTCCAGTCCCTGCTCTGCCCAAATCTGCTGAGTGACTGAGGGCATGTTATATCCTCTTTGGGTTTCTGTTTCTTCTTCAATCATCTAGGCATAATCCTGTGATTGTGTCTGAAGATGTGGGGAGGGGTCTGTATGTATAGTGCTTTGTCACTTACATACAGTGATGAGGATGCAGGCTCGCTGGCATGGGCAGTGGGTCCAGGAATGAAAACTCCCACCACTGGGAAGAGAACATACAGGGGGCTGGAGATGACCCAAAGACTCTCTGTAATTATTTTTCCTTTCTTTCCAGAGGAAGGTGGTGGTTCATCTTGCTTAGGTAAGGATGGAAGCCTGCTGTGTTCAGTGTGGCTGCACCCTCACCCTTGAGTCCTCTGGCCTCAAGAACTGCAGCTCAGGTGAGAGAGCTGAGTATGTCGTGTGGTGGTGAGGTTGGGGAGAGAAGGGTAGGGCACGGCCCAAGGCAGGCTTCAACTGGAGTCTAGAGGTTCCATCTGTCTCCTTAAACATAGTGGTTTTCATGGGTTATGGGTAGATAACACCTGGGATTACATATGAGTAGATTACACCTGGGAACTTTAAAACTAGTGATGCCTGAGTCCCACCTCCAGAAATTCTGATTTAACTGATCTGAGGGTGATCCTGGGCATTGGGAATTTAATCATTTCCCAGGTGATTCTCATGCACAAAGTTGAGAACCACTGCTCTGACTTCCTCTAAATCCTCCCTACTCCTAATGTGGTTCAGAGACTGCACTTTGAATGGCAAGGACTAAGTAAGTTTTGATTTCTTGGAGGTGAAGAAGAATTTGGGGTTGGTACTAGACTGGGGGGTGAGCTGGGAAAATGGAGGTAAGGTTAGCAGGAGACAATGATGATGGATGTCTGGGAAGAAAGATGCTTTAACAGGAAAAGATTAGAAGAAGGGAAGAGACAGAGAAGTGGTCTCACAAAGAGTCAGGTCTACAGGGGCCTTGGTAATAATGGAGCTTGTTGGCTGGGTAGGTTGAGTTCTTTCTTTCTTTCTTTCTTTCTTTCTTTCTTTCTTTCTTTCTTTCTTTCTTTCTTTCTTTTCTTTCTAAGACTTTTACTTATTTGAGAGAGAGAGAGAGAGAGAGAACAAACAGGGGGTGGGGCAAAGGGAGAGGGAGAAGCAGACTCCCTACTGAGCAGGAAGCCTGATGTGTGTCTTGACCCTAGGACCTTAGGATCCTGACCTGAGGTGAAGGCAGCCACTTATCCAACTGGGCCACCCAGGCACCCCAAGGGTAGGTCAAGTTCTTAACTGCTGTCTCTACAGGGAAGTCCTTGAGTCTGCAGGATTTCAGAAACATGAAGGAGGAGTAGGACTCAGTAAGAGGCCTCTAGGATCTGACTGAGGAGGAACAAAAACATGTGCTAAGCTGCCTCATTAAGTGCCTCAATAAGGATGGGCAGCTATAGGATCTAGAAAAAGAGTAAGAGACACAAGAAAGAATTAGAGCAGAGAGAGGCATGAGTCAGTAGAGACGCAGTTGCCACACTGAAGACAATCTGCTAGAGTGGGACTGGTGCTCACCTCCCCCATCTCCTGGCACTAGGTGTCTGAGGTCCTAATCTCTGGTGACCTACAGATGCAGGTCTTCTCATAAGCAGTCTTTTTTAATGCTGCTGAGTTCTTGGTAAAGACACATATAGAATCCATTCTGGATATCCTGGATAACTTGATTGGTGAGGAGGGATGTTGGCTGTACGCTGGTGTGGAGCAATTGCTGAGCAGAGGGGTCCGTGCAATTGAAATCCTAGGAGGAAGGGGGCACACATTGACTTTTAAATTTTGTGCAGGATAGACCTTCACATTCTAGAACCTTGCCATTTTTCCCAGGCTAGGGATTGGGGGATGCCTCCTCTTACCCCCTGGCACAGTCTGACTTCCTGCAGGCCAAGAGGGAAGCAGGAATCACAGCAAGAGCCCATTTGGAATAACTTGTCCCTGATTGCCAGGGACTCTCTGGAACCTCCTTCTGATGCTTGAACCAGGTCTGATGAGACACTGAAGCCCTGTCCCACTATGTGCTTCTCCTCTCTGCCAGCCACCCTCTTCACCCTTTGAGAACTGTCTGAGGAGCAGTGTCTTATGGCTGAGGCCCCAGAGAAGGGGACCCTGCCCCTGTAGAAGGACCAGGTAAGACAGCCTGGGCTGAGGTCCAGGTGAATGCTCACGCTCTCAAGGGACTCAGAAGTCCCAGGGTACAGTCCTTCCTACTTCATAGTTCTCTGTCAGCTCACATCCATTCAGCTGGTGTGTGTGGCAATTCCCTGGAACACTTGGGTTTCCAAGACAACTTGGGGTGGGCTTTTTAGACTCTGTTGCTAGCCTATGGGCAAGACAGGCAGGCAGAAAACTGTTAGTCCCAGGATGGCAGTGCCACACCGATTAGCAGTGCCTGTCACTATGCTGAGAGAGTATGAGACTCTCCAGGCTCTGCAGGAAAAAGTGCCATGATGAATTACTATTTTTGGCATGGCCCAGGGTTAGAAGGGTGGCCAAGTATTTGACATTTATAGTATTTTTCCTTGTTCCTAGCTTTACCTTCTGGTGTATTTCCTTCCAGGTGGAATCTGTCCTGGAGCAGAACTGAGTGAGCCAGCCTCAAGCTGTGGGTGACCCTGACGTATGACTTCTCTGCCCTCTGTGTTGCTCTCTTCCATCCTGCTGCAGCTGGGTGAGAAGCTGACCTCGGTGTGTTCCTAACTATATGTTAGCCCTCGAACCATTGTCCCCTCAAGCCTCTGGGTGCTCCCCTCCCAGGTCATCCCTGTCTTCCGACTCCCAATCATCAGAACAGCGTCTTTATAACAAAAGATTTCCTTTCTCTGTTCTTTGATACATCGCATTCCCTACATGATAGTGTCCAAAAGATCAGCCTGGATTGTATGCACAGGCTTCTGATTAAAAGTGGCAGATTGGTCATATTAATTTTCTCTTGCTCTTGAAACCTCACTAAATAAAGCGATAGAAAAGATGTAAACCCGCAATGATAAAGAGAATGAGGCAGCAGATAAGAGATTCTGACACATCTTTGGAAACTAGAAGGTAATTAGAGGCGTTCAAGCCAGGACGTGTGGGCCTGAGGGGAGTGAGGAGTGTGGGAGGACACTGCTGTTCTCTCATCACGAACCTTTTCTCTGTAGTACTTCTTAAGACAAGGTAATTCAAAGTAAGAGAAATACATGATTGTTGTAAAGCATTTCAAATATTTTTCAAAGCCCAAGGTGATCTCCCTTTCTTCCTCTAATATAACCACTGTTAACATTTTGGGGGTATGTTAACAGTCTTCCTATGAAGCAGTATCTAAAATGGTAATTTAAATATGAAGCTAGGATGATGTAACAAATTTGCTTCTATCTTTGGTTCTAGAGTTGTTTTTTTCTTTTAAATTGGTAAAAATATTATAAGCAACAGGAATTCTCATAAATGCTGTTGGGAGTGAACTGCTTTAGAAAATTATTTGACAGTATCTACTAAAGCTAAACACATGCCTGTGAGCCAGCCACTACAGTCCCTAGGCACATACCCAAGATAAAGGAGTACATGTCTCCACCAAAAGACATGCATATACAAAAACATGAAAAGCCTCAAGCTGAACACTACTCAAATGTCTAATAACTTTAGGATGGATGCATATATTGTGGCATATTTATGCAAGAAAAGAAAGCAAATTGCTGCTACACATTACAATATGGATGGCTTACACAGACATGGTGTTGAGCAAATGAAGCCAGACACAAAAGAACATATTTATGTTTGGTCACCTGAGAAGCAGGTGCCAAAATAGAATTAGATGTGCTAAAGTCTTATTAAGGGAAGAGCCTGTGAAAAATAAAGAGAGAGGGAGCAGGAATGGCAAGTCTTCAATGCCAGTCTAAAACCTGTAAAAGGAGAAGAGGGAATGATTGAATAGGAAGTCTCAGATTGCAGGGGCAACTTTCAAGAGTCTCAGCCAAGTTGACCTGAGCAATGGTGGTCTACAGGAAGAGTCCACATCAGGCAGGAATGGCCAGGCTCTAGTATCCACCCCCATACTCAGCCTTGGGCTGGAAGCAGCCCAGGGAAGCTTGATCTCAGGAGGTAGATTTATAAGGCAGTAGGGAGAGGTTCTTAGTCAACTGTGCTTCCTGCAGCAGGTTTTCCTAAGGAAAATCCTCCATGGCTACCACAATACTGTGTGATTCTGTTATATGAGGCTCAAGAACAGGGAAAATTAAGCAATGGTGATAGAACTCTGAATAGTGATTATCTTAGTGGGAATAGTCTTAACTAAGAAGAGTCATGAGGGAATCTTCTGGGGTGCTGGAAATATATAAAGATTCATTGTGCTAACATTTAAGATCAGTATACTTTATATATATTTTTATTTTTTAAAGATTTTGTTTATTCAGAGAGAGAGAGAGACAGAGACAGAGACACAGGCAGAGGGAGAAGCAGGCTCCATACAGGAAGCCTGACATGGGACTCGATCCCAGGTCTCCAGGATCACACCCCAGGCTGTAGGCAGCACCAAACCGCTGCGCCACCGGGGCTGCCCTACATATATTTTTAAAATATTTAATTTATTTATTTGAGAGAGAGAGAGAGAAAGTGAGACACAGGAACAGAGGGGGAAGGGCAGAGGGAGAGAAAGAAGCCAACTCACTGCTGAGCAGGGGGCTTGAAGCTATGAGGGTCTCAATCCCAGGACTCTGGGATCATGAACTGAGCCGAAGGCAGATGCTGAACCTACTGAGCCACCCAGGTGCTCCCTTAATAATACTCTAGTTGAGTTCTTTTTTTCCTCCAGAAACCTTTGGGTTAAACGCATATGTCAGAAAAATGCACAGTGGCTTTGGGCGTTCCCTGGCACACTCCATGCGGCCAACAGCACATCAGTGAGCCTCTATTTACTATATTTCGCTATATTATACATCAATAAAAAAGTTTTTTAAAAAAGTACATAGTGCATAATTCCATGTAAATTAAGTGAAAACCGGGATCCCTGGGCGGCTCAGCGGTTTAGCTCCTGCCTTTGGCCCAGGGCGTGATCCTGGAGTCCCAGGATTGAGTCTCACATCAGGCTTTCTGCGTGGAACCTGCTTCTCCCTCTGCCTGTGTCTCTGCCTCTCTCTCTGTGTGTCTCTCATGAATGAATAAATAAAATCTTTTAAAAAAAATTAAGTGAAAACCAAGCAAAACTAAATGATAGTGGTAAAAGTCAGAACAGTAGGGGCATGAGGGAATCTTCTGGGGCGCTGGAAATATTTTATAACTTGATCAGGATAGTGATTATGTGATGTTTACAAGTATACAGATTTATTAAGACATATATTTAAGATCTGAGCACTTTGTTTTTAACTTCACTTTACCATAATTTTTTACCTCAATAAAAATTTTAATTTAAAAACATACATACACATGGAAATATACTTGAACAAAACAGAATAATATAAAAAATAAAAATTTCCTCTCAAATCCCTTTACCCTATAACATAGTCCCACTTTCTTTAGACAGTCACTGATTTAATTTTTGTTTGTTATCGTTACAACTAAAAATTATATTCTTATATTTGTTTTTGAGTTATTAATTTTAGATAGTATTTACTGACTTCTCAGTACTAAGGATGAATATTGGGAAAACCAGACATTGAATAAGTACAAAGTAGGAAGACTATTATTTAAAAAATGCAGGGTACTTATGAAAGTGTTTAGTGAAAGACAATAGGGTTACCTCTGACATTGTCCCCTTCTGTCTTCCTTAAATTCTGATTCCAGCCACACCGAACTATTGACCTTTTATTTGAACATGCCATCTACTTGTACAATGACTTGCTTATTTATTTGTTTTTATCTTTTTTTAAAATATTTTATTTATTTATTTATTCATAGAGACACACACAGAGAGAGAGAGGCAGAGACATAGGCAGAGGGAGAAGCAGGCTCCATGCAGGAAGCCCGACGTGGGACTTGATCCTGGGTCTCCAAGATCACACCCCAGGCTGCAGGCGGCACCAAACCGCTGTGCCACCAGGGCTGCCCTGTTTGTTTTTATATTTGAAAATATTTTTTAAGTTTTTAAACAGCTCAAACTGTGATAGAGATGGCTTTGAAATGGGGGCAGTTGGGATAGTCATTATTTGAGCTTGGAGATATGTAGAAGATTCCACTAACTCTTACTCATTTTTCAGAACTCTTAGCTCACAAGAAATACCCATCTCTGATAGTTTCTTTATCTCTCCAGGCTAGTTAGAGATTTCTAAATACATTGTGCTTATCCTTTTTGGGAAGGAAACCCTTTTGGAGAAATGCTAGTTAAGCCGCCTGGGGGTAGATATGATCCTATGGAGTTGGTTGTCTTGGATAAGGGGGAAAACTACTTTGTAGGAAACAAATCAAGGAATTTATTGATTTTGCTCCTAAGATAGAGGAGAGGAACAGTGGAAGGAGAGAGAATGAAGGGAGAGAAGCGCAAGCAAGAGAGAGAGAGGCTGAAACTAGGTGAGGTAGTAAAAACTTCTAGATATGAGATAGGTGAAGAACATTCAAGAATGGTGACACCAAACATGTTTCTGGAGAGCAAGGTTTAAATCTAATAAGCTAGATTATTTGCTCTAGGTCTCTCTTGGAAGACAATTTAAAATTCTGGATAAAATAATGTATTTTTTAAAGTTTTATTTATTTAAGTAATCTGTATATCCACTATGGGGTTTGACCTCATGACCCCAAGATCAAGAGTTGCATGATCTTCTGCTTGAGCCACCCAGGTGCCTCTGGATAAGAAATTTAAAACCATTCATAAAAAGCATCAAATTGCTGACAAGAAGCTCAAGCCAAAATATAAGTAAAAAGGAGACCTAGGGAGATAGATAAAGTATCAGAACACTAATGTAATTTTGCCCCACATGAAGGGGACTGAGATTTGCAAATCCAGGCAAGCTGGGGCTTCAGTTTGGCCAAACTTGTGGATTAATAAATCTAGAAGTTAAGGCCAAGGACCCACCCAGGTGGGAAATCTAATTAAAGAAGATCTTCCCGGGCAGCCCCGGTGGCACAGCGGTTTAGCGCCGCCTGCAGCCTAGGGCGTGATCCTGGAGACTCTGGATGGAGTCCCACGTCGGGCTCCCAGCATGGAGCCTGCTTCTCCCTCTGCCTATGTCTCTGCATCTCTCTCTCTCTCTGTCTCTATGAATAAATAAATAAAAAATCTTAAAAAAAAAGGAGATCTTCCCCATATTAAACTGGAATTTCAAAGGGTTACATCACTGAGGTAAAAGTGAATCATCAGGAAACCCATACTCTTGTCTCACCAGCAGGGGATATAGGAAAGACTTTGGTATTGAGTGAAGAAAAGGCTTGAAAAAAGAAAAAAGAAAAAAGTTCTGAAATATTCTGGCCATAGGCTTATGTTTTCAGAGAACTTAGCCTGGATTTGCATCATCTGGGTATTTCAGAGAATCTCAAATTGCAAACTTAGTTTGTGAGGATCCAGGATTAGTTGTGTCCCTGGATGCCAGTCAGAATTAAACACAAGTCTTTTCTGGAAGAAGTCATCTTCATTTCCACAAATAATTTTTTAAAGGACAATGAATAGTTCCCAGCAAAAAAATATCAAAGCATATAAGGAGATGGCAAGAATAAGCAGAAACAACAAACAGCAGAAAGAGGCTTATAAAGATATTATTATTGGAATTTACTAGAGTAAATATATGCTCATTAATTTGAATAAATTGTAAAATGAGCTTGATAATACCAATGGCAAGAAGAAACTATAAAAAAGTTACCTATCCTATTTGTAAAAGAACCAAATATAACTTTAGAAATGAGATACATTAAAAACAAGATAGGTAAAAAAAAAAAAAAACAAGATAGGTAAAAG